TTAATTGGAACGAAGTCTAGAAAGGATTATAAAGTTTTGTATTTAGTAATGTGTAGGTTTGTTAAATATGATTTTTTTTTAATTCCTTTTATTCAAAATGTAAAAAAAATAATTATGCGCTGAAAAATAGAGCTGAGCTGATGGGCGATATGGCGTTAGCCACCTGAGATTGTCTGGTGGACACGGTTTAACCTTACTGTGCCCTCACCATGGTTGTTGTTGTCGTTGTTATAAGGGATTGGGAGCTACAGCTCAATGCATTTTTGGTTACAGTCTGTCTCACTAAAGTGGACATGTGCAGGTGAACTCTGTTCAATTAGTATATGAAATGCCCCAATATATGAACTCAAGACAATAATAATCTGAGAGTAAATACACGTGCGTCTGTTCCCCTCGTTCACCTGAAATTCAGTGACAATGTTGCTGAACAGTTGAATCTGATGGAGGTATTGTGCAGAACCTGTTTGACACTATTGGTTCCAGGACCACTACCACTGGGAAGAGTGGCACTCTGAGCTAAAAAAAAGTTTGGTCCTAACCGCCCCAACATCTACAAGTTTGTAAGCTTTTTGACATCTTTAAGAAGAAATTAACAGTCCCATGCTGAGACCTTTCTCAAAATTCAGGCCGGTGGCAGGCTGCCAACAAAGAGAAGAAAATATCGCAACCTCGACACAAGTGTGCTCAGTCAAACGATGAACTTACGACCGGCAGAAAACAACTCCAGTTGAGTATGCCGATGCTGTATCTCAACCGTGTTGGCCTGAAAAATTAAACATGTTAATTAAACCCATAATCGTATAATTCTTTTTATTAGAAACCGTATCTTAGTTTGTTCTTGCACTGTATCATATCGTGTATTTCATCTGTATATGTGTAATGTGTATATGTATAAATGACTACACTTTTACCGCATATTCTGCAACAGACAATAATTGATCACCTTATTATTGTCTCTCCATTTACCATGGCTGACTGCACTAATACCCTTTTAACAGTGCACACCGATTTCAGTATACATGTAGGCTTTTTGTTTAAAAAGGAATATGCAGGACATTATATGTAACAATTAACTGTGTACTAATTACATGTTTGAATGTTATCAGTTTTGCGTTCTGAGATACAGTCATGTAAGCATCTTCTATTATTAACAATACATGTATATAATAAAATACAGAACTCTCTGCCGGAATTTTTCGTGGAAATCATTTGATCAAGTATAAATGACTGCGTGACAAGACAAATCAACCAAAATACCCGATAAAAGAAACTGGCTTATTTTAGGAACAGTGCTATATCAGGACATTTGAAATTTCTAACCAAGCAGATACATTAGAGAAAGTGACCAGACTACATTTACGTAATCCGTATTAATCAAAGGTGTAAAATAACTGAAAATCATATCTGTCGGAGACCTACCAAATTTACCAAGATTTATTATTACTATATTTATTACAATGCAAATACTTTAGTGATACATTTTTCAGAGGAGAGGGCATACATACAAGTATTTTGCTTCCGTGTGTGAATGCAGGTGATACTTGGCATCTCAGTTCTCAGTTTTATACCGGTTGTATATCTGAATTTGTATGTGGAACCATGCGTACAGCATGACAATTACTTGCTAGTCGTCGATCTACAACGCAAATAACACGGTCAAACAATTTTGGGCACCACTTTTGCAAGTTATTTATTACAATAATGTTTTATTAAAATCTATTTCAATTTGTTTTCACCATTTTCCCTATTCCATTCCATGCATGTTTATGTTGCTACATCTTATTGTTCCTGTTCCCAAGTATTATAAAACACTTTAATGTCTCTTCTTCCTAATCTAACGTTAATACATTTCAGGTTATTACCATCATCTAATACACAAGCGATGATACCAAGACATAGTTAGTTCGGTTTTATGGTCTATGCGGTCTTACAATTGATTTTATTAGTCTATAAATCTTATGTCTAGTACATATTTTCACAAACAGGGCTGTTAGCTGATATAAGGAAGGTAACATCCAGTTGAATTCACAGTTGACGTATTTGCTATTTTTTTATATCAAATATGAGGACTATATACAACATACGTTAGTCTCTCAACGACGTTTCTACAATTAATAATTTGAATAAGCCGTTGATATGCCAGTTGTGACAGGGATGATAGTATGGTAGCTGTAGCAGACTGATTGACAGTCGTTGTTACGTGCGTCACTAGGTAATTAGTACCACATTGACCTTGTTGATTGTAACTAAAGTAAACTACGGTTAAAACGAACTCAAAGGGACTACTAATTTTAGTTCGTTATAACCGTAATTCGTTATAAGCATATATACAGCATAACTACAGCATATAGTCGGGACCAAAAAGTTAGTTCGTTATATCCGTTAGTTCGTTATAAGCGTGTTCGTTATAACCGTAGTTTATTGTACACTTTGAGGATTACCTCTGTGGCCAGTGGCGGACGTAATTCAAACTCCTTACACACTGACACCGCATCAAATATATTTGTGTACCGATTACATAACTCTTACGGACAGGGTGGGGTGGTAGTTCACCGGACGACACTATGTATATTGGGCGGCTCCTTTGATATCTCCTCCAAACATACTTTTATTGAATGACCCATTAAACGATGATACACATCTCGTTGAATATATCAAGGCACTAATTCATCTTTCATAAACTTTTTTTTGTCTTGCCACATATCAACGAAAATATGTAATACATGTATCCACAAAAAATATACATATACAGGCTAGGTACTTGCCCACAGCAACACCTGCATAACTGTTTATTCGCGCGTGGTGTGGTAGATCGTAATTGACCGAGAGCAGGTATTGTAGAATCACCTGTAAATAACACCGACACTGTAATTAGATACAACGTACTAATGAGAATTATCATAAGAAGGCTGTTGTTTTTTTCTGAACTGTTACCATTTTCATACCAAAAATGACAATGCATTAAAAGTTGCATTAGTGTCATAATATTCACTCAATCGCCTGTAAACATCGCACCGCATATAATGAAAAAATTATTTCGAGATTTCATTAGAATGTGAGATATTCAGCTAGACGTTATGCAATGAAAGACGAATCGGTTTTTTTCCCATTAAAATACGCGCACGTGTACCTGTATATTGCATATCTATTGTCACTTAATTTCCCAGTGTGATGTATCAACGAGACATAAAATGGGAAGTGAAATAGAAACAAACTAAACTTTAATTCGTTGAAAAATAACGCCAATGAATTGGTGTACACGCGCATGAATTTGTATGATAAACTGTCAAAACGTTTTGAGAGATAAGGCCGGGTTCATTAAAGATCGTTGCAATATGTAAAAAAGGTGAAATTTGTAAAACTTCTGCAAAGGAAACATTAAACCAAAGGCACTTTTAATATAATGATGTAATGATATAATACAAAGTGTGTTTCACATGATACAATATACTTTGTAAACAATTAGTTAATTCTTTAAAGGGACTGACGAAAACATGGGCGAAATATTTTAATAACGCCAAAAATTAGTTGAATTAAGTTAAAATGAGTTGAATCATGTGTCATGCTTCTAATCCCTTAATGTATTTGCGAAACTAAAACTGTTGAGCAAAGGAAAATATGCTCGCCCATGGGCCAAACCTTTTTCTCGCCCATGGGCGAAATATTTCATTATCGCTATAAAATCGTTAAATTAAGTTAAAATGAGTTAAATTTTGTGTATGATACTTGATGGAATACAAGTTAAGTATTTGCGAAACAAAAACATGAATTTTGAGTAAAGGAAAATATTCTCGCCCATGGGCCAAGCCTTTTTCTCGCCCATGGGCGAACTATTTCAATATCGCTATAAAATCGTTGAATTAAGTTAAAATGAGTTAAATTTTTGTGCATGATACTTGATGGAATACAAGTTAAATATTTGCGAGACAAAAACATGAGTTTTGAGTAAAGGAAAATTTTCTCGCCCATGGGCAGGCCCATGGGCGAGATGGTGTAAATATTGAGTTTTTAAACTTTTTTTTTTTAAATTTTTTCTTCCTTAGTATGTTCCCATGTAAACAGCATGCTTATTTTTGTAAATACCTTTGACCAAGACTGGGAAAAGACAGTAGAGTTTCTGGACTTTTGGGTTTCCAGAATTAAAATGGGACGTGTTATATGAATTGTCACCCTGTGAATAAGGTCAGGTAAAATGAGGTTTAACGTCGCGTCGTAGATTATAACACTAATATTGTGACATGTGTGTGGGGCTGCTTTTATTTGTCCGGACTAATGCCGGTTTTATACTGCTAGCACACTTAGATACCATGAATACCCCGCTTAAGACACAGTATACTGACTCCAAGCCGACCAGTTCTTGTTTTAGCCCCTTAATGCCCAGCGCCAGGCAGAGAAATAACAAGTACCACATTTCAACGTCTTTTCATACTACGCGACCGGGGATCGAACCCCGGGCCTTCTGCTCTCCGGGCGGACGCTCTTCCACAAGACCACGGAGATTGTCTCTCACAGCCTCACTGACAATGTGTTCCGATCTTGTGATCTTGTCAATCACGGGTCAAGAGAATGATCCTTTGTGTCAACCTGTCTTGGTGGACTCTCAAGATGGGCCACTAGCTCACAGTGTGAGCGAGTTTTTAGCCACATATGCGAAACATTTAATATATTGTATGCGACGGTCAGTTAGTACATTATCTACATTGAGTTCACTTTAAGAATATTCATATTAATTTACAGTTAGAAGGAAATTGGTGTTATAAGAAAGCTAAGACACTAGCACAAAGTTCCCATGACTGCATCCCTCTGCCCGGTCATCTTGTTTTACAGAGGTTACCCAAACATTGTGAATCGGAATATTTTAATCTTTACTTGTTGGACGATTGGTGTAGACCTATTCAAAATACGAAAATAGAAAAATGACCATTTTTTAATTCAATAAATTAGCAATTACAATTTTTAAATAACAAACCTAACAAACATGATATTAAAAATATACAGCATGCACATCTTGTAACAAAATTATATTCAACATCTGGCACCTGCTATTCGAATAAAGTCCAAAGCTTTTGTATTTTGCCAGACTCTTGTAGAGAATCATAAAGATAAAACCAACGTTATCTTTAATACACTGTACAACAGTTTTTAGAACATATTTTGTATTTGAACTACAAAACATTTAAAAGTCAATATATAGCTGGAGGTGTTTATGAAATAGCAATCCGTTTATATACATGTTATACCGTTTCATAACGTATCATATTCATGTTTATAACATGTTGAGAACGCAAGATAAAGGATTCATGAATAGAAACAAATGTAATTTGCCTTCACATAAGTAATTAATGAAGGTTTATGAGGAATCTACCTTCGAACAGTAGTATGGCTGAGTCCTCACCATATTTCTAGTTATAGACTTTACTACTTTGATCCCTGTCATAGAGGAAGAACTCTCCAATGCGTGTATTATGCCTCTCGAGAATCTCCATGGTACCATTAGACCTGTATTCCCGCCGAACGAATGGATGGATGGCCTTCAACAGGTCACACTGCAGAGTTGCCTGTTTGCTAGCATGGATAGATCGCTCCCATCTGTGATCATAGTGCAAATTCTGACAGACACTGATACTATAGGTTTGGAGTATGACGCTTTTTGTATTTCTCGGCGTGGGCAGAAGGAGGCCCATGAAAGGTCGCTTGCCGAGAGGAAATACGTCAGTCCGTTTAAACACAAAACGAGGAAAACTTCGATCATAATCACGAATGTGAGTCCTATTTTCTTTATAAAAGCTAATGTCTATAAACGGCCATTTCCACGAATAATTAGGTATATTGTAAGATCTACGATGATAAAACTTCCATCTGCGACCACCTTGTTGATTGAGAATAAAATGTGGTGCTAGTTTGGACAGTGAGGTGACCAATCGTTGTGTATCCTTAGCTCGCACCACAAGGTCAAGGTCGTCATCCCAAGGAATCATGCCGTGATGACGATAAGAACCAAGCAGGGAACCGGAATACAAAAAATATGTAACTTTAGATGCTACGGCTTTCATAAACGTTTTGAGTAGGATTTCAAAACAGCGTTTCTCTCTTCTAGTTATCATGACATCAAAAAGTTTTATTTTCCTCCTTATTTCATTTGTGTCGAGCATGCTGCGGGCAGTTTCTGGTATCTGTGTGCCAAGAGGCCATGGCAGGATATTGCTGGTGGTTGCTGGTACTTTTGCACCCCGTGGCTGTGGACCAGGGAAAGATGGCAGGGTGCTGCTGTTGGTTACTGGTACTTTTGAACACCGTGTCTGTGAACCGAGGAAAGATTGCAGTGTGCTGGTAATGGCTGTTGGTACAGTTACAACATTGTAGCTGAATACGACGATGCATGTTGTTACCGCTGTCACACACATCATATATCTTCTTGCTCTCCTGGTGGCCATATTATCCTGGAATGAAATGTATGTATAAGAGGCAGGTACATAGCAATATGTTACTGTGCATTTGAAACCAAGTATGAACCAGGAATATCATCACTGCACCAGCACACAAATCTAACTCCGTTTTTCTTAAAAGATGTTTGCAAAATGGTGAGCAATTCCTGCCCAACCGTTGACATCCGTCATACTTACTGATGTCCTTAGTTGCGAAGCTTTTCCGAACAGACGCTACGTGAACGTAGTAAATATTATAATATGTAGTTCATATGCTTGTCATCTTTATAAACAAGTTAAAATATGATGTGCGCATGCTTGCAAAATTTGCATTGTTCAGGCACGTGGCCTCTTCAGTCAGAATGCTTTAAGTGGAAAATTGTATTCAGAAATCGGATAGAGGGCGTGCGCTATGTGTGGTGAGTGACAAGTACAAATGATGACAGGTGAAATGATTGACGGCTTTGACCATGAGGCAGCCTATACTAGTGGGTATCAGCTGGTGTGACAGATGGCACGGACATATCATGCGTGTTAATCATGATTCAGCAGTGTAGATGTCGATGAAGAACGCATGGGGCTCAATGCTATTCGTTAAACAATGGCACAGGTAATAATCATATTTTAGGAAGTTGTGTAAAGTATATATTTTTTATTGTCATGTCATGACATGTAATTTGAAACATAGTGTGTTATTGGCATGTGATTCTTTTTTTCAGGAGTCACAGAAAGTGGAGTCGGTGTGTGTGTCTTTCATCAGCGATGACAAACATGTGTTCAGGCTCCTACTATGGGGAATTCTACTGGTCACTGAGTGAGTGTCATGTTTTCACCATTTGAAACAACCCGAGCAAGTAAGTTTGCTGAAAAACTATTCAACTGAAAAGAACACGACTCTTTGTAATTCAAGTATCGAGCAGTCTAAGATGCGTCCGTTAGGTGCGCGATGACCCGTTTATCGTGCGTTCGAATTTTAAATTGATCCTGATTATGATCTTTGGATTGTCAGCACCATGCGTATGCTCTTACAAAGTTTCACCAAATCAAATATTAACGACCTCCGTTACCCAGTTAATACTGCATTATTGGGCCAATATTAACGTTATAAGGTGGTGATGTGCCGTTATGTGCCGTAATGTAATACTGGTTACTCAGTAATGCCGGCCAACAGTTTGCCTTGTTATGTTGACACTACATGATCTTTAACCGTAATTGATCCAATGCTGGCATGGCACAAGTCGGCCACACTGATACTCGCCCGGTATGGGTTAACTTCCATAACAGATATTAGTAGTTCCTCGCATAGTTTACAATACTTTATCTTCGATAAGTGTACCAGTTAAATACATATATATAACACGTCCCATTATAATTCTTGAATACATTTGTCCAGAAACTCTCCATGCTGATGCCAGTCTCTGTCAAAGGTATTTACAAAATTTAACATGCTGTTTTCATGGGTACATAACAAGGAGTCGTGTGACACTATCTGAAATCTTGGTGGAAAGAGAATGCCCAATTGTATCTCAAAAGTTGTAAAATGTTAACACCAGATGCTGCTGAAATATTGCTCGGCGTGAAGGGAAAAGACTGCCTCCGTAGCGAAGAGGTAGAGCGTCCGCTGCGCCGAGAGCGGAAGGTCGGGGGTTCGATCCTCGGCCGCGCCATACCAAAAGGCGTAAAAAGATGGTACATTGTACTTGTTGTTACCCTGTCTGGCGCTCGGCATTAAGGGGCTAAAGCAAGGACTGTATACTGTGTCTGAGTAGGGTATTCATGTTAAACTGCGACATGGTATTTCAGTGGGCTAGCACTATCAGTATCAGTTCAGAGTAGAACAGGCAACTACACACACACACACACACACACACACACACACGGGCTTGAACGTCGCTATATAGTGCAATAATCTTGAACGGGACGTTAAACTCCATTTCACATCCCCACACCACTCCTCACCATATTGGAAAACCAATGTAAGGCCATAACTCAGCTATCGCCATAAAAAAAGACATCTGTCTGTTATATGTTTAGTTGGTGTAAGAATTCTACACATGTACTGAACAACAAAAGTTCCTGTGACATTGAAAAAGATTAAATGCAAAGTTATGTTTTTACCAAATCTGAAACAATTTCGGTTTGCAGCCGAGACTCCTGTAGTAGTATAGGTAATAGGGGTTCTGCCGCAACTCCACTGGAGCCGGATTTATATACCTATACTGCTACTACAGGGGGATTTTTTATGCAAAAATGACGATGCGATTTAACGATAGTCATGAGATTAAACTAAAATGACCACCACTTGGGGCCAATCAATGCTTCTATGATATAAATTTTTATAGGTAATGGTGATTCTGGCTCACTTCCACTGGAGCCGGATTTATATACCTATACTGCTACTACAGGTGGCATATTTTATGTAAAAATGATTATGCGATTCAACGATAGTCAAAAGATTAAACTAAATTGTAATGAAAATATTCTCTATTATTTTTACTGATACGTATACCATTAGTTTTAACGAAGTGATATTCAACATTTTTACTAAGGTCTTCGTTCATTTTACTGGGAGACCAGACTATATACTCTTCTTGGTAATTGGAAAGAAACAATTGATGACCGTATTTGGTTGGTTTGACATTCACAAATATAATATATACCTTGTGGTTATTCTCTCCATTTGATAATTTTGTCCCTGAGCATAAATGTTTCAATAGCTTTTTCGAGTTCTTCCTTTGTTGGTTTGTAATTCTCCATTATTATATACTTATGTAAGCATTCGTTTAAATGTGATCAAGCAATCTATTTTTAATCTCCAACCAGTTCTTTGGTTTTGGCACGGAATAATTGACGCGCTTGTTGCCTCCCCTGTTCTATGAACTTTTTTTTCTCGTCTTCGCTAATACCACTGGTCTTACGAGATTTTGATCGAATCTCCTGCTTCATTACGTTGTATTTGGTAAGTTCTGACAACACTAAACGAAACTCCTCCTCGGATATCTTACAATCAGCCATTGCTGTTGAAATATGATCCTCAATGCTGTTCAACTTTGCTTCGGTCAGTAGCCGAATGGTATCGTGTTTTAATGCTTTCTTTTGCAACCTATGAGAAATTAATTTTATCGTTATTCCTGCCAGTCCTGAGACTCCGGCGGCTATTTCCATGCCAAGTACGATGGGCGTGGCGATTATAGTTGATAATAAACCAACATCTGCTACACTGAGTCCAATGCCAGCTGTTACAAGCACGGTGTCAACTCCGTCCAGAGCATTCACGGCTCTGCGATACTTTTTATACAATCCAAGTCTCAACTCCCTCTCCTTCTCTATTCCATGTTTTATGTCGCTTATTTGATGCAATCGAAATCCATCAACAGTATCCATCTTTTCAAATGCCTCATCGAGCGCCGGATATAAATTCATAGTGTATATTACGGTCATATAATAGTCTTTAATTGATCTTGCTTAAATGTTTTGAGAGTTTACCTCAACCTTATCAAATGAATATTATATGGCAAGAATATCTTAGTAAGAGAAATGCTGTCACTTTTAATAATTTGAACCCCCTCGAGGGTTGCAACGGGTGATGCTCCAATATGAATAATACTGCAACGTTGACGCTCGTGTTTCTTGAGCCATTTAATCAATAGACCAGGTAATATTTCGAAGGCATCTTCAGGTGCATCTCCGAACAAAACTTCAATAATAAGCGTAGAGATATTAGGTATTGCACTCAAGTTAACTTTAATATCATTGAATTCAGTAACCAAATTTAATCTAACATTTTGGACTGCCGGACGACTAAATAATATATGACCTGGGTCTTCTGGCAGGGGAGAGGCTAACACACTTTTTCGTTTTGATTGGATATAAGCCACGAGTACGATGCCACTATTTATTATCTTAGTTAAATTATGTGCCTTACCCATCATCACATACGGTGGGGTAATGACGATATTCAGTAGCCACTCGATGTTTGCTTCGACCATAGTCCTTTTTTGATCATCGTTGTGAGTAAGATTGTACGAATTGTTTTTAAGGAGTCTACTAACGTCGACATCGCTTAAATCTTCTAGATTACCCGTGAATGTGACTTCTTTCCGCTTGTATACATTATCTTGTAAGTGTAAAGCGTATAACTTACCATCGGTACCGGGTTTACCGAATCCTTCTGTGTCTCCTAGATCGGAAAGCGCAACTGTATTACATTGTCTGAGCTTTCCAGGGCCTGATGATTCAACCATTATTTATAATATGGAGTGTTACACTTAAGTATCCTATATGTACAGGTAGGTGTTTTACATCTAATACAGAAATGTTGAGGTCTGAAATAATACCAAGCTTTAATTTTTATATTGTAATGTTGAGAAAGATTCCGTTCTACCGCTATTATATTTTTCATCTTTGACTGGAATAGATCTGAACAGAGTTGAAGGACTTTCGAGTTGAATATTATCCCTCATGCTTATTTGATCAAGATGGATGCACAACTCTTTATAGGGAACTAAATCGGGTAATTTAACCCCCTGTGCTGTTATGTTAGGTTATATTACTCCTTCGCGTGCATATCCAAGTGTAATTGCTAAGTTCTCGTAAAGAATTACACCTTTTTCTCCAGCGCTTAAAATCAGTATCCCATTCGACTCATTTTGTGTGAGACTAATTCCATTAGGCTTAAAAAATTCATCATTGAGTGAGCATACGCTGTAATACCCATCAGGTATAATAATGAGTTTGCCAATACCACTATTTTCAAATATCCATATCTCATTATTACCTCTCACAGCATTTATATTGGTCCACCTCAGGTAATACGTTACATCACAGATAGCGACTTCAAGTTGACCATCTGAGTTATCGATAGTATGAAGCAGTTCAATAGACTGATCATTTGTTATTCCAGGGAGTGTAACATACATATTAAATATACAATGATACTATATCATAACTTAAATATGGAATCAACCATTATTAATAATATGGAGTGTTACACTTAAGTATCCTATATGTACCAGTTGGTGTTTTACATCTAATACAAAAAGTTTGAGGTCTGAAATAATACCACGCTTTAATTTTTTATATTGTAATGTTGAGAAAGATTCTGTTCTACCGCTATTATATTTTTCATCTTTGACTGGAATAGATCTGAGTAGAGTTGAAGGACTTTCTAGTTGAATATTATCCGTCGTGCTTATTTGATCAAGATGGATGCACAACTCTTTATAGGGAACTAAATCGGGTAATTTAACCCCATGTGCTGATGTCTTGAGTACTGTTATATCTCCATCTGCAAATCCAAGTGTAATTGCTAAGTTCCTGTAAAGCTTTACATCCTTTTCTCCAGCTTTTAAAATCAGCATCCCATTCGACTCATTTTGTGTGAGACTAATTCCATTAGGCTTAAAAAAATCATCATTGAGTGAGCATACGCTGTAATACCCATCAGGTATAATGTGTTTTTTACTATTTATTACTGTCTCATTATTACCTCTTGCAGCATTTATATTGATCCACCTCGGATAATACGTTACATCGCATAGGGCGACTTCGAGTTTACCAGCTGAGTTGTCGATAGTATGAAGCAGTTGAATAGACTGACCATTTGTTATTCCCGGGAGTGTGACATACATATTAAATATACAATGATACTATATCATAACTTAAATATGAAACCGAGATACATTACTAATCAATCGATAATAGTAACTGCCTCTGGTTTTGATTTGTTCGTTAAATTCCCTGATATCTTTGAAAAGTACAGGGTCACGGCATGGCAACTAGTGATAAAATGGTGCACGATTGGTTTCACATTCC